CGCCACTCGAGGTGACGTGGTGAGGCGCTGAGACCTCGGAGGTTCTCAGACCTCAGACAGTGGAATGGAGGCCTGTCAGGTCAGCGGTAACGCGTCCCGGGGGGTGACGGCGGTGACAGAGATGGTGACGGCCGACCCAAGAATGGCGCGGATGGGAGCTGGAGTAGGCCGGCACGCTGTGGGTCATTTGCATCGGGGAGGAGTTGGAGAATGTGGGGAGCGAGGAACTATTAACCCGCGAGTTGCTGGGGGGGGGGCGTTAAACGCCCCCACTTTTTTCGCCGGGCCATAGCATAAAAATTGCGCGCCGCAGGCGCGCCAAAATTTGGGTACCTGTAGGGAATTGATTGAAGTTTATTGTGACAAAGTTTCAAAAAAATCGGTCGGAAAATTTTTGAGATAGGGGAGAGTGGGGAAAGATGCCCAGGGTTTCGCTATGTCATATATTTTTCGAAAATGACGATGGGAAAGCAACAACTTGGAGTTTCAACGGAAGCCGACATCATTTTTCTCCAAAAATATCACACTTTCGTGCCTAAAATATTATAACTTTTTTTGCTATTAAGCATTTTCCTGAAGAAGTGAAAGGGGGCATCTTACCCCACAGGGTGGGAAAGACGCCCCCTGACGTTGGGAAAGATGCCCCCTGCACTATAAGTGACATAAATGGGCACGTGAATCGCATGAACGAATCAGTAGTCCCTTCGAGCCTGCAGTAGACACCAAACGTCATCATAAGGGCCCGCAAAAGTAGTCGTAAGGGGCTTTAGAGGTCATCGTTAGGGCCATCATAGTCCAGCGCGGCCAAACAAGCCTCCGCGGTGGCGTTCGGAGACCACTGTGGGGCTCTTATAGGTCTTCATGATGCTTGAGGGCCCTCGAGCCCATCGTGGGGACCTCTGATGCCAGCGCGGCCCGTGGGGCCAACATGGGAGCCCTCAAAGGATGTCGTGAGGGGCCCTGGAGCCAATAATGGGGCCCACAGAGGCCGTCCTGAGGGCTCTCAGAGTCAGATGCCGCCCAAAAAGTCGCTATGTGGGCCGAGAGACCGGCATGGGGAGCACCCAACCGTACTGGACTCTCAATAGTCCCAGATCGGCTTTTGTCTACATCACAAGTATGTAATAAATGATTTGACGGGCTGTTTGAAGGACAGCCTACGGATTTAGGGGGGCGTCTTTCCCCATCAGGACAGGGGGCATCTTACCCCAAGGTACCGAAGTAACATTAAATCAGTACAATTTGTTAGCCATAAAACTACACCCTGAAACAAACTGTTTGGGACACAGTACACGCATGGTAATGTATCACGAATATAGCAAGGGACGCAAAAATTATTTACCTTCTTTGATATTTACATTGTTTTGACACCAAAATATTTTTTGAAAGCAGCAAATAAAAAACATGCAATCATCAGCCAGCCGTTGCCCAACTGAGCGTCGTAATTTTTTGTGCAGTTAACAAGTCAGGTTTCCGCTTTACGCTAAGAACATTAATTTCCAGGTCCGATTCTTTGTTTCGCCGCTAGAGGGGGTGGGGCGTCTTTCCCACCCTGGGCATCTTACCCCACTCTCCCCTATCGAGGTTTTAGTGACGTCATGATTTCTGAGTTTTCGACCAAAAACGGCATATGTTCAAAAAATTATATAAAATCACAGAATAGACATACAGACATGCCGTAAACGCCATTAGACTGCCAATACCATGCACAATCAAATGGCTATCTTCGATTATTGATTATCGTTCTGCATTTTCCAAAATCTTGAACTGAATCTTGGCAATTTCTCGCGACTTCTTCACGACCATGATACATACATTTCTTAAATTGAACTTTTTGAGCCAAACACGTACACATACGATAAAATGAATGTCACCATCGGGTTCTACGCCCCAAATTACCCATAAAACATGTGTCGCAGGCTGCGAATATCAGTTTTGATTTTCGGGGATATGTGCCTACCCGGTTGACCTGACCTTGACCCTGACCTATGCTTGACTGACCCCTACATGGAGCTGACACTCTTGTAGGCCTTATATGATGGATTGTGCACCGTTTTGACAACGTTTATGACGAGAGGCGCCCATTGCGAAGCCCTGAAGTCCATGCTACTGAAAGCCCGATTTCAGGTGTTTGACCTGACCTTGACCCGACCTGTGACCTCAAAATTCAATTTCAAAGTACTCATCTGAAGCGTCTCGTCGCGCTCTTTCGTTTGCCGCCTCGTGCGTTTCGCTGCGCCTATTGGTTCTCGAGTTATCGGCTGGGGGCGTTTAACGCCCCCCCCCCCCAGCAAACGGTGGGTGGCGAAATACCCCAGCAACTGCCGGGTTAATTGATTGTTGAAGGAAGGCGGGTGGAGTAACAATGCTGGTTGTAATGCATCGACTTTTTGTGGTTGGGTCAATTCGTGTCCCCACCACTTTCAAGCGTTATTTCATCAAACAACACGGCATATTACTATTTATCATTATTCATTTCTGAGCTGCCAAGTGGGTATCCACTAGCCACTAATTCAACATTGCGAATTGTAAAATACCCAAATATATTTCATTTCAATTAAATGGAATCATTATTCACTCCTTTGTAATGCCTACTGATCATCTAAAGTTACCTTTTCAGTGTTTTCTGGTGCCATGCGATACTGGTTTGTGAATTCACAGCCGGGCGCCCCCTTGGACACGTGCGACCTCTCCATGCATGCTAATTGCCCACCTTGGTTTACTGCCGGCCTATTAGGGTCTATATTTAGCCGAGGGGCGGGAGTGGCCGCCTCTGACCGGCTCGTGGCCGGGGAGCCGCCCGCCGCAGCTGGGAGGGGTGCCTTTCAGCTTCACCGAGGGAGGACCTCTGACTTGATCCACACCTGTTCGGGACGGTATTGAGTTTTTGGACTGAGACACTGGTCAGATCTGAGCAGTCGAATCGGGCCGATTGGCCCTCAGAGTTACCTCGAGATCAGGTGAAGCCAGGTAAGGTGGGGTCTGGTCAGGTTGGATCGGGTCAGGTCGAGTCCTATCGAGTATGGATCGAGATCCTACCGGGTCCTACCTAGCTGTCCGGCGATGCGCTAGGCTGGGTTTGACCGTCACCTCACCTCGCCAGAGAACCGACCGGGCTCTCGGCTCGTTCCGACCGCCTGAGTGGCATCTCGGAGCCACAGGAATGCCAGTCCTCCTCCGAATCCCCGCGTCTGAGCGGCGGACCGTCCGACAGGCCACAGACCCGGCCGGCGGCGGACAGTCGGACAGGCCACAGGCTGGGGCGGATCAGCGCCGAGACGCGGCGCGGTCAGCGGTCAGTGATCAGCGCCGAGACGCGGTGGTCAGCGATCAGCGGATCAGCACCGAGACCCGGTGGTCAGCGGTCACTGAGCGGCGCGGCGGCTCGGCCCTTCCTGGAAACGCCGGCTACTAAATTAAACCCGCCAGCACAAACGCTTCCGGTTTGGCTTTTGGACGCTGCTAAGCGTCGTCAGCGTACAAATCCCGCTTGGGGTGCTTACGCGAGATAACCCTACCCATGTTGGTACGTTCCTGTGGGTAGCGGTGTCATTGAACGTAGGACTAGTAAATGTATTCTTAAAAGCATTATAGTACGGATAGTTCAGCAATTCGTAGAAAAGGACATCGTCGGGTCCGGTCGGCTGACGGCTACAAAAGGCTGTCAGGCGCAGTTTTGGACCATGACCAGCTTCGTGATAGGCTGCCGTTCATGTACTGACATTTTTGCGGATCCCTTTATAATTTCACCAATTATTTTCGTCTCTAAAAGATCGAAATGTCGACCGACGAACAAGTCCGTCGGGTCGATACCGTTACTGCGTTCAGTCAGCTCTGGCGGCGGCTGCCGGGCCGTCTCAAATTCGGAGCTTCTCGTAGCCGTGAATCAAGCGCTGTCCACCGTTCCACCGGTGACGTAAGCCGGTCACGTGGTGGCCCGTCTGGGGCCGGTCAGCGGCCGGGCCGCCCACATTCCTCTGTCGAACTGCCAGCTCAGCCGCTCAGCGCAGCCACCAGGTGCAGTCGGCCGCGGACACACCACGTGACGTCCGCAAGGGAGAACAGTGGACGTAACGTGGTACATCACGTGATGCTTGCAACCTGATGTTGGTTGCCGCGAACGGGCTGCGCTTAGGCTCATGTCCTTGCAAGTTCATTTACAAAAGGATGGGATGCTGCAGGAAGAAAATCCTGCGGCCTGCAGGATTTTGTGTTCCCTGCTGATGTGCATAGCTCATTCGAGAGGTCACTCGATAGGTCACTTGGTATCATCGTGGCAGAAGACCACATTCAAACACGCGCTGCAGCGTGGGCTGCCGCATTCGGAGTCTTCCCCGGGCCGCGTTGGTCAGCGCGGCGCGCGGTCCAACGGATCTCGAACGGAAGGCAGTGATCAGAATGCACAGAGTGACTGTCGAACTCATTAACCCCTTGCACATTCCGCATACCACACCCGACAAATGGTTCATTAATATTGAATGTTCGGGATGCCAAGAGCTCTTTTAGAACATCCCGCCGACTGTAGTTACTTGAAAGATGTTGCTGATCTTTTTGTTCGTTGTACTTTTTATTAGAGCTCGTTTTGCTGCTCGTACTCGCTAATGACAAGCTTGTGTCAAATCAACGTACAATTAAAATCAAATGACCCGGTAAATCGGGCAGTGTAGGTAGGAAGGCATGTGGTATTCACCTTTCTGTCTTACGGTTGTTTTTTTTTTCTTTTGACGCAGATACCCTCAGCGGACCAGACGCCTTTTTCTGTAGGTACCCCCCCCCCCCCAAGAAATAGAACTTTCAACTAAGTTATGTTTTCGAACTACAGAGTTCCTATCTATATGTGCATAAACATACAAAACGCACACCTACCACCGCGCCGCCACCGCCACGCTACCTTCATCGGCAGCAGCAGCCAGCTTTACGCTCGGCTGCAGTCCAGTCTCGGCAGCGCCCCATGATACCCCTCCTCTGAGCGAGTTCTAACAAAGCTGTCTTGTTTGCAGGGCTAACCGACTGACCGCCGCCGCATCGAATCAGGTATGGAAAATCCCGGTAAACCCTTTCATTTGCCGGGCCGTTTTCACTCTATTATTCTGATGGATCGCCTCTACTGGCGACTGGCTGTCACGGTATTATTGAACTCGATTGGTTTATTATGCAAAATACCGATGTACACCTCCCTGCATATGGGGATTTTGATAAGACCGGACCCCTGAATGGCTGAATCATTGATGAACGGGCTGGGAACATATCGCACTCAGCGCCAAACTCGCGGTCGTAAGTGCAGAAATCGAAACTGCATGACATCACAATATACGGCACAGTCGCTATGCATGGATCTTGGTAACGCCTTCCAGTGGTATCTGCTTGTTTATTCCGATGTGGATGGCTATTCTCATCACACACTTGCTGGCATGCATTTCTTCGGTTAAACTGAAGTAGGGTACGTTGTTTTATCGGATGGTTCCCTATACATTAACGACTCTGATGGTGTTGCATGAGATCACCACATTAATCTAGACTCAGCCTTAATCATTTCTGGAATGTGCATAATGCTCCGGTAATTCGAGCGCCTTTTGGTGCGTTCCGGACGACTTACATCCATGCTGACCGTTCGAAGCAACATCCATTCTCACGTTTTTGCCGGTTTCAGATTATATAGGTATTCAAAGGGAGGTCTAAATAGGTAAACTCGTAGACTGTTTGTTCCAGATCAGTGTCGGTCTCGAGTGTCAGTCAGGTGTGTCAACCCCAAGTGCTGGTTAGTCCTGAGGTCGGTCGCCCTCTGAGTGTCCAGCCGAGTGTCGGGAGTGCTGAGTGGCAGCTCGGTCAGCCCGCCCTCTATCCGTGCCGGACTGCGTGCCGGGGTGCGCCGGCCGCTGACCTGCCGACCGGGAGGTGGCCGCGCTCCTCGGGAGCGCAGGAATCCCAGCAGGACGGGTCGGACCACCACGGACCGGTCCAAACTCTGACATTGGACCGCCGCCCGCCCACCAGTTGATGGGCTACTGCGGTTAGACGGACCAGGTGCCTTCCGGAACGAGCAGAAATACCGGTAGAGCCTAAAAATTTCGCCTCTGCTGAGTGGTATGGTTGAAAACCTCGGTAGCGAAGTGTCTTTCTGCATTTTATATGCGCCAATGCTGACCTATAAGCATATGTTAATGCTTGAGTTAGTCCCATGATGCGTGGGTCAGCTGTTTTATAGAGCAGTAGCGCATGGCGTGCTGGCGCACCCAGCTCTGCGTTCTCGATCCGGAGCTTAGTGAGCTTTGCGGCGGACTCGTAAAACTCATCAGAGCCGCACCCCGCTCCATTAACATCGTTGGGCAGGGCCCGGCCCATTGAGCTGCCACAAGCCAGGCTACCTGTTTGTTCACTGGAGCTCTACAATCTACATAGAGGTGTGTATATCGCCGTATGGGCTGCCAGTGTGCCAGATAGGGTTTTATATGTTGAAATGCCTCCCATTCAGGCTACTTGTGTACTGTGTAGGTCGATATGAATATCGCCATTTAGGTTGCCTTTTTGCTCAACCATGCTCTATGCCTGAGTAAGCTGCGCTATATCGGGCTATTTGATTGGCAGCTGTACGCCTGTATTGAACTCGTAGCCTCAGCTCTCGCAGGACACGATCGGTCCTCCTCCCACCCTCTCCCCTCCCTCTCCCCCTCTCCCGGCGTGTGTAACGGCCTGTTCTCACCGTGGCATCCCTGACCTCTGTATTACTGGGCCGACCCCGCCATAGCTGGCCGGCAGCCGATTTATCTTTATCGCCGGTCGCCGTGAGCTACCCTGTACTGCACCGGCCGTCTGCAGGACGGGCCGGCAGCTCTCCCACGGGTCGGGCCGAGAGAGTGCACAGAAGTCGTCAGCCCGAGTGTTCGTACTCATCCTCAGATCATCGTAACAGATATGACATGACAGCTGGCTACTGGGCTCAGTCTCTTCTCAGCGATTTACAGTATCTAGTAACTTATGTAATTTCTGTGACCTTCTCGACTAAGCATGGAACCGCAGATCGGCGCAGTTTCTGCATTCACTGGCTGGATGGTCGAAGTTGAACTCGATTTTTTTTTTAACGTTAGCCCCCGTTTGTGGCTGAGCCTTCCTATCAAACGTCGCTTGTTGTTTCTGGCCAGTCCCAGTTGGTCCAGCTGGTGAAGACTCGATGAGTTCTGACGAGTGAGCAGCGCGGCTGAACTCAGACCATCAGTCCGGGTCCTGAGCCGACAACTCCTGGTCCGACGGCCGCGACGAAAGCTCACTAGCCATTTGTGCTAGGCGGGCGGGTCGGTCCTGAGCCGATATTGCAACCATGAGCACCCAGTCCTGGTCCGACCAGCCGGTCCTGAGCCGGCCACCGAGCGCCGGCGGCCACGCGGCGGTAGTAGCGGCCCGGCAGCGTACCTACCAGCAAACCGGTCCGGTCCGCTCCCTGGCACCCGGCACTATGTGATAGCGCCGTGCAGCCGGCCATACCGACCCGGCGCGCCGGCCGCAGCCGCACTGGGTCGGAAAGCAGCGCCTCCCGGCCATCGAAAACACCCAGCCCCGTTTTGGTCGCCGCGGAGAGCTCGCTGCTGAGGCGGGTGACGTCAAACAGGGCCGCTGTGGCGGGCTGAATCATGCATGACCGGGACGGCTGACTTCAATAATCCCGCGCGTGCTGCCTCGGTAATTTCCAAATTACAGCCGGCGCGGTGTAGATTGATCACGTGATCGGGGGTGCCGTTTGTGGGTGTGTGGGGAGGGCCGGCGCCGGCTCCATCAGCCGCTGTGTGCAGTGCCGCTCCTGAAGGGCCTCTGCGGCAGCCGGCGGAAGTGTGCCACCAGAGACCGGCGGCCGCGCGCGCTACGTGCCGCCGGCAGGCGCACCTCCGCAGCGCGGTAGCCGGGCCGGGCCGAGCCGCCGCTGATGCAAGGCACGCCCCCAGGACCACCAGGCCGAACGGTCGGCCGAACGGGCTCCAGAAATGGAACAGGATCGCTCCGGATGGCCACTGTTATATATTTTTGTGGAGCAGAGCGTAGGTTTGTTCATTTCAGTCAGCGGTGTGGATGTTTGAGCTTTACTGCGCATGAGCTGGGCCCGTCTCGGAGAAAAGACGGCCAACTATGCCCGGTTTAGTGGCACGGAGATCTCGAGACTGGCATTGCGTGTCGGCAGCAGTATGTATCACTCACTTGTGGCGTTATGGGGGCTCACCATGAACCGCGGCAGCGGCCGTTCCCACGTTTGGAAGCCGGCCGTAAACGGGCAACAAACATAATTCAGCAGCATGCAGACTTCAGAACGGACCACGTGGCCTGTACTTCAGGGAGGAGGGATGGGCGTACTGGTCCCTGGCGCCCAGTGAACTCAAGACCCAAGTGGTATTGCGCTCATTGCTGGGGAACCAGCCGATTTTGATGTGCGTCGAGCTCCTTGGTAAATAGATGTTACCATGAGGTCAGTTACTCCAACTCAATACAATTTGCACACGGTTCAGCTCTGCAGACCATCGCAGAACGTTTTGCGATCCACCTGAGCCCCGGAGTGCCACCGTGCTCCTTCGTCCTCCCGAAGTACCAGCAGCTGTAACCCGTCCACCGGGCGGCTGCCGCGGCGGTGACCGCGTGGCGCGGCCGCGCGCGCCCGGCGCCGGCCCCGCTCGCACCTTGGGATGCCGGCCACGTCGGCGCGTCCGATGTGATTGAGATAGTGGGCTCGTCGGATCGCCGGTGCGGGCAGGTGGCCGCCATGGGCCGCCTCTCCGGCTCTCCGGCTCTGCTCTTTGCCGGACGGGTGGAAGGTGGGCGGCCAGCGCGCCGACCGCGGCTGGTTACAGCGGGTCAGAACGGGTCAGAACGGCCCACAGATGATCAGAGTGGCCCCTCACAGTGGCCCACAACGGATTAGAATGGCTCACGGCAGATTATGGCGGGTTACAGCGGCCTACAGTGGGCTAGAGTGGCTCACTGAGGGTCAGAACAGCTCACACGGGCTCACAGCGGGTCAGAACGGGTCATAGTGGTTAGGAGCCGGTCAAAGGGCTCAGAGCAGCTCACAGCCGGTCACAACGACTGACAGCCGATCACACCTTTGTCGGATAGACTTATGAACGCATGACCTCTACAGCTGAAGCTTGATTGTAATACCTATCTGGTAGCTGTCTCTATTTTTAGCTTCTGTCTATAGAGGCAGCAGGAGCCACCGGAGTTGTAGTTACTGGCCAGCGCTGCTGACGTGATCACATTCAGGAGAGAGCCGGTGTGGCCACGCCGCTCTCTGTCTGTAATTACGCCTCCCAGGGTACGCCAGATGCATGGCTGATGGTCCTCCGCAGCGGCAGTGACATCCACTGGCCGTTCGCCAAGTTCAAGGCTCCCGTGGACGGCGCCACGTCCCAGGGCGCTCCATTTTCTGCACGGCGCTCTGAAGGTCACACCCAGTCCACGATCGAGCGTGAAGGCGTCACCGGACCAATTTTGGCCCGAGCCGGCGGCCAGAGCGAACACGTTTCACGAACGCCCGCCGGCCAGACGCCGGTCATTGTTCTGGGCCGCCGTGAGTGGCTTGGGACGTTCCACCGTCATCCCCGGCGCCCGGATCCAATAATTGGCCGCAGCGGTGACACTGGCGACCACCGCCGGCTCCGGCCGCTCCTCTCTGCGCGGAGGCCCGCACTGATGAGATGCCGGCGCGGAGAGTCCACGCGCGCGGTCCGTTTGATATGGGAGCCGCCGGGGCGGGCACGACGTGCCTTCAGTCGTGGCTGGACTGACGACGACGTCACTCAGCCGCCGGTGGAGTGACGAGGGAGTGAAACCAATCACCAGTCTGCCGGCCAGCACCATGGCAGCAGAACCAACGCCAGAACCAACAATCATGCCGGGAATGCCGACCAATAACCCATCTGAAGCACGGTGCCACTTTGTGTGGACCGTTGCCATCGATCTCCAATTGTCCATGTCATTTTCACCTCAGCTACGAAAGTCGAGTCTAGTTTTACAGAAACCGTCTGAGGTCAGGGCGATCCCAAAGTAAGCCACCA